TGGAGGATCTTAGGTGCCACCAGAATCAGTGTTTTTGCCAATATTGTTACAGCCTTTGTGTTTCCTGGCAGATGTTTGCAGAAAGGCCCCTGTGCACCACAGCCCTGCCATGTTGTTGGGGGCAAGACCCAGAGGGTCTGTATCAGGAGACCACAAGGAATGAACAGAATCTTCCTGCGCCACACAGCAAAGTTTTCCTAACAGGAAATTGTAGGATTGGTAAACTAGGGTAGGACATACTGGAGAGGGCATCAGGACTGGCCCCTGTTAGCATGTACATTCAATTTTAAACAGTTCTTTAGAGCATCTCAAGGGTGGCTTCATCAGTTACAGTTTTCTAAAGTTTCTGCTGCTTTTTTGGCAGATGGGAGCAGTTGATGTTTTTGGTTTTTGATGCAGGGTTTTCCTGTATTCCCAGTTGGCCTAGAAATCACTGTGTAGACCAAGGTGGCCTTGATCTGCCTACCTCTGCCTCCTGAGTGCTGGGATTAAAGGCACGTGCCACCACGCCCAGCCCAAGTTTTTGCTTCTTAATTCCCCTTGTACAAACAGGACAGCCACAGTGACCAGGTGACATGACCATGATGAGGCTAACTCTTTGGGCTGCTTCTGTCAACTCCCAGATGGCTGCTTCCGTAGCAACAAGAAGCTGGAAAACCTGTCAGCCCAGCTTAGCAGCATAGCATCCCAGAGACTCAAGGACAGCCTAAAGGAGAAATATAATACACTCATACACATAACAGACATGAAATATACATAAATATGTATAATTTAGAACCGAAGCTTGCAAACTGTTAAAATATACCCAGAATCTGACCATTTCTCAATGCTGGCACTGTAGCAAAGTCCACATCTTCCACCAGCCTAATACATGAGCTTCCTCTGTGCACTCTGCCTCCTTCCTTGACCCTGCAGTCCTCATACCCTCAGCCTTCACTGTAGCGAGGGAGCTTGTTAAAACCCAAGTCAAATTTCTGTTTGTGGCTGCTCAGAACCTCCTGATTTCCCAGCTCACTGAGAGTAAAGTTCAAAGGCCTGTTCTCACTATGAGGTACCCAAGGCTCCTGCTTCTCCTCCAACAGTTCCCTGCTCCTTCCTCCTACTCTGCCACCCCCGCCCAAGAAACCCCACTGGTCCCCTGGCTGCTTCCTGCACCTGCAGATGTGCTCTGACCTGGGGCTTTGCACCTGCTGTTCCTTCTGCTTGGACCCCTCCCCCAGCAAGCCCAGGCCTTGATTCTCGAGTTCTTCCAGTGTCACCTTCAGAGGCTTTTTCTGACAACTTAAACAGCCCCTCTCTTCGATACTCCTAACTCTACCTTGCTTTGGCATCATCTGGTTTGGTTTCTTGTCTGATTTTCTACTCCAGTCCAACAGCCAGACCTTTTTCACTGTTGGGCTGCCTGGCTCAGTGCTCCGTCATTGTTTGCTGAGTGAATGAGAGGTGCTGAGGGGGAGCTGAGGATTGAGAATTGTCTTCACAGCCCCTTCTGCCCCAACAGCAAATGTAGCTCATTTCTTCCATTTGAAACCACCTCTACCTTCGTGAAAGAACAACCAAATCACCACTTTGGAGTCCTGAGCGGTCCGTCCCAATATAACGTGACTTCACCTGGGACTTTTTATACAGACCCATTCAACATTGTTAGTTTTGTAGGTTGTCATACAAGGATACCAGTAATTTCGTGAGGCTTAACATAATAGCCTTTACTGTACCACAGTCTGGGCCCAAGGTCCAGATACTAATAGTAATTTTCTAGAAGTTATTAAGATCACTAATTACCTGATACTAAGTCGGTGTCCCAAGGGCCTTGTTTACGTGATCTTACTTAAGCCTCATGATCTTGGTGTAGTATAGGTAGTGCTACCCATTTTGGGATAAGAAAACAGAGGTTGAAAGAAGTGAAATAAACTTGCCCTGGGTTATAACAAGTAGCAATTAGCAGAAGAGGGGCTGGAAGTCAGATCTAATGAAATCTTTACTGTTAATCGTGGTATAGAGAATGAGTCCTTCCCTCCAATAGCTGATTGATAATAGTGGCAGTAAGCTGTCCCAGGACCCTTAGCCAGAAGGTGGCAGGAGAAGGCTGGATTACATTTCTAGCACTGTCCAGCTGGTGGCCCAGCAAGGTTGCATGGTAGTGTGGTAGGCAGTTTTGGAGTCTATTTGAGATGTATATATTGGCCTCTTTGAGGCTTATTTTCTTTTGTATGAAGAACAAATAACTATTTTACTCTGGCCAGCAAGATGGCTCAACAATCAAAGGTGCCAAGACTTAGGGCCTGAGTTAGATCTCCAGGACCCACATGGTGGAAGGAGAGAACTGACTTCTACAAAGCTTCCAAACTACTGAGTGTGGTGTCAACATGCCTTTAATTCCAGCACTTGGGAGGCAGAAACAGGCGGATCTCTTGAGTTCGAGGCCAGCCTGGTCTACACGGTGAGTTCCAGGACAGCTGGGGCTACAGGGAGACCCTGTCTCAAAAGACCCCCCCCCAAAAAAAAAAGAGTCTCTAAACACAAGCCATG